TTCAACCCAACTAATCTTCAGCATTCGACGGTAGCACCACATCTCGAAACTTTCAATATTTTTCATGTTCTGTTTGAGAGTCCTGGCCTCTACACCGTATAATAGCGTGTTAAATACATAGCCTCTCAGCATTCTTAATCGTAGAGGGATGCTTATATTTCTGTTGCAGAAGAATTTTCTCATCTTTATGAAGGTGGCCCTGGTAATTTCGATACGTCTTTTTATTTCACTGTTTTGGTCTCCAGTTTCGTTTATTAAAGTCCCCAAGTATTTGTAACTTGATACTTTTTCAACTTGAGTGCCGTTTATACTAATATACGCTGGTTGTATCATGTTTTTACTGAAGACCATATACTTGGTTTTTTTAATATTGATATTTATACCATAATTGTTGCAAGCAATATTTATGTCTGTAAGTAATCTTTGTAATTCTTCTCCTGTTCTTGCAACTAGTACAGTGTCGTCCGCGTATCGAATATTATTTACAATCTCTCCATTAATTACGATTCCTCCGTTTGCTTGTAAAAGGGCTTCCTGACAGATGCTTTCACTATAAACATTAAATAACAGAGGTGACAAAATGCAACCCTGTCGTACTCCTCTACGTATTTCTATTGCTTGTGATGTTTCAGTTTCCATTTTGATGTTAGCTTTCTGATTCCAATATAGATTGAGAATTATTCGCAGATCTTTATTATCTATGTCTTTCCTTTCAAGAATCTCTCTAAGCTTATCATGGCGTACTCTGTCAAACGCTTTTTCAAAATCGATAAAACACGTATGTACCTCCTGATTAACGTCTAGGCATCTTTGTGTGAGAACATTCAAACCGAAGAGAGCTTCTCGAGCACCAAGCCCTTTTCTGAACCCCATCTGTGTATTACTAATATCTGACTCCAACTTTTGATAAACTCGGTTGTAGATGATTTTTAGAAATATCTTTAGTAGGTGGCTCATTAAAGATATTGTTCGACGTTCTGAACATTCTTTAGCATTAGATTTCTTTGGCAGTGTAACGAATGTAGACAACAGCCACTCTTGAGGTATAATGCCAGTATTGTATATTGTATTAAATAAGTGCAATATTATACCTATTGATTCATCATTCAAGAGCTTTAGCAATTCGGTAGGAACCTCATCTGGTCCATTTGCCTTCCCAGTTTTGGAATTTTTAAGTGCCATTTCTACTACACATTTTAGAATTTCAGGTCCCGTTTCGCCATATATCAGAACAATGTTATTTCTGTTTTCCTCAAATAATTCTCTTATGTATTCACTCCATCTATTAATTTTCTCTGTTAAATCTATAATAATCTTTCCATCTTTGTTCTTAAGCAAACTTATTTGACGTCTTCTTTGGGTTCCTGTAATTTCTCTTACTTTTTTATGTATATTGAACGTGTCATACTTTCTTTCATAGTTTTCCATTTCTACACATTGTTCTGTAATCCATGATTCTTTGGCATTTCTTATTCTGTGCTTTATGTTCCTATCAACCTCTTTTAAGCGCCACTCTTACTAATTGTTATACGTTCATGCCTGTCCAACTTCTGGTATTAAGAAGCCATGACATGTCACTGTAACGAAGATACAATTTGACGCAAATCCAAAACATACCTTACGTTGGGCGCCAAATTGTAATGAAATATTTTGCCTACCACATTGGGATCATTATAGGGGGTTGAAAGTTGAAGACAGTAATTATTGGGATAGAGATAAGATAGAGGGCAAGCAAAATAAACGAAACTGTTGCGAACTGCACTCAGGGTTTACTTGGAGAGCTGGGTCGTGGATAAGTGAATGGCAAGGGGGTTGGATTGGGGCAACTACAAAGATAAAATAAAAGGGGTTAGAAAATTTTTTAAAATAAATATACAAAATTGTTTAGGGAAAAAATTAAACATTTGTTGTTGTCTCGCCACAAACAGTTACAAAAATAAACAATACAAAATACTATAATAATAGTCACAAAAGTAAATACAAAAATAACAAAGAGTAACACTTACTATGTCCTAGCCGTTTAGATACTCTAAATAGGAGTTACTACATAACTTACTGTTGTTATTGAGCTAGAATTTATGGCAGAAATAAATTATTAGAACTAAAAAAAATATCTTTACAAACTCTTATGGATGCAATTATTAATAAAAATGTTTATTCTTATTTTTTCTTTAAAATTTAAACACACAATTTACCTGGATTGCAATAAATTACTTTTGGGCGTCAAAACTAGACTTCACTGGAATTTCTGGGGGTAGAACTGGGCTTACACTTTCTGGCACCCGAACAAATTCATCTCCATACTATGAAAAGTATTTCGAAATGGCTCCTTAAGACATACAAATCTAAAGTAAAATTTTGACTAACTGTGTAAGCAACTGCTTTTGACAACTGCCTCAGAGAGAGTGTCGCAATTATCTTTCCATCAAAACCTGCTCCGATCTAAATGAGTGTTTATTTGAAAAGCAGAATACTAAATGGCTTCGATCAAAGAAAATACTAAATAATATGCGTCTGTGAAATATAAACAAACTGTGAAAAGGTATATATCAACTTGGCGACGCAAGAATGAAATAATGAAATTTCACGAATGAAATAATGCTTCGGTTGTTAATACGTAAGATAGGAAATGAAATACATTAAAATTATTCTTCGGTTTTGTAATACATATACGAGGGGATTTCAATATATACCAAGGAATCAATATATACCAATACATACTTCTCTTCGGCTCTCTTTCTCTCTCTAGTAATTTTATAACTTTGTCTAGTATATTTTATAAATGATCTATTTTTTCTGCTATCAAAACGGTATCGTCTGTAAAACTGATACTGTTATTACTGTTAATAACAGTGCAAAATATAAAGAGCAATGGAGACAATATACAGCCTTGTCGGACACCTCTTTATTTACGGACGCTTTGAGTAGTGTAGTTCGAATATTTTAAGGTTGCTTCCTGGTTCCAATAAAGGTTTTAAATTATGTGGAAATCTTATATATGGATATATTAGCAATTTTATGTTGTTATCATCTATTAGTTTGATTGCAATTATTTCTATTTTGTCTGGTCCACGGCTTTATTTAATAATATCAGGGGTCTCGTTTTACCGACAAGAGGAATCCCCAAGCTGAGAATGAGTCTCAATAGATCGCAGAGTGGAAATTACTCAACCAGGTAAAACACCCTACCAGACATGTAAGTCGTCTACAGACAATTCTGAGTTCCAACATCGAAAAGATTATAATACCCATGTTCGTCCGTCTAAAGATCTGGTCTACTGGCAAGGATCGATCCCACTGTAAACCATTAACCTCAACGGAAATAAGGGCTCATGCGACAATCGTAGCGCACTACGATTCCTTAGTAAATTCACATTGTTTTGAGACTCTCGGAACTCAAAGAGATATAATTGCCACCTTTGACTAGAAAGGATGCGCCCTTAGAGGCGTTCAGGCATAATTCCACGGATGGTAGCTTCGCACCATTACCCGCTCGAGTAAGTGCGTCAACCAAATGTCCAAACCGTCTGCTCCTCTCGTTGTGAGCAGGGTTACTATCGCAACGACGAGTCATCAATAGGATAAAACTAACCTGTCTTACGACGGTCTAAACCTAGCTCACGTTCCCTGTCTATGGGTAAACAATCTAACGCTCGCGAATTCTGCTTTGCAATGATAGGAAGAGCCGATATCAAAGGATCAAAAAGTGACGTTTCTATAAAATTTTGGTCGACACAAGTCAGTTATCCCTATGGTAGCTTTTCTGATACCTCTTGCTGAAAACTTTTTAAGCCAAAAAGATCGATAAGCCGTGCTTTCGCAGTCCCTACGCATAGTGAACATCAGGATCAAGCCAGATTTTCCCATTTTGCTCTACGCGAGGTATCTTTCCTCTCTGAGCTGGCCTTAGGACACCTGTGTTATTCTTTAACAGATGTACCGCCCCAGTCAAACTCCCCACCTAGGAGTGTCCTCTAATCAAATCAGGCTGGAGGTAAGTTGACGCTCGAAATAAAGCACACTAAGGCTAGCCAGGTATACGAAAGTCAAGCCTTACTGGAACCACAAAACCGACGAACGATACAACGCAACGAAACGTCACTCCGTGCCCTTAGCTTAAGAATACCGTAATAGTCGGCACCTCGTGAGCGAAAGACACACGCGTTTCGCCTTACCGAGTAAGTAAAGAAACGATGAAATAAGCTTTTCACATTGTATCACATGTTTTACCTCTACGTCTAGCATTGAAGGTCCTTCCATCTCCCACGTCTACGTCTGTTGTAATGCAGGTCTTTCATCCGCAAAGTATTTTTCGATAAATTCCTCTCATAGTTGAATTTGTTTGGTTTGGATCTTTCTATAATTATTCTTTATTTGTTGTCAGATAGAGTGGGTATATTATGTTTGTTGTTATTATTGGAAGATTTCTTTTAGTTTTTTGTATAGGTTGAATGTACTATAGTTGTTGTCTAGGTCCTCTATTCCGTCACATATTTTATTTATCCACTTTTCTTTTACCTTTTTTGATTTTTGAATTTATGGTTCTTTGGATTTCTTTATATAGATGTGGGTTGTTTTGGTGTTTTCATCTCTTTTCCATGAGTTCCAAAATATCTTCCGTTGTCCATTTTTCCGTTTCTAATTTTTCGTATTCTTAAATTCTTCTCTTATATATTGGTTTGCAATATATTTTTTATTTCTTCCTCTTTTGTTATGATTGATTTTTTTGTTCTGGTCTTTGTTTTGAAGTATTTCAATATTGCACTACATTGGTTTATTTAGGCGTATTGTTTTTAGTTTGTATCTGAAATTGATAAAGACTGGATTGTGGTCTGACGAACACTAAGAGGTTAAAATAGGTGATACTGTGATCGGAGTACTTTTAGAATGAAACTACACGACATACATGCTCTTTATATAGCCCAAGACGCCGCTATCTAGAACGCGAATTACAGAAATTCGTTAAACGTAAAACAAATAGTAAAGAACGTTTTACTTACCATAAGGCTGTTTCCCAAATATACTCATGTACCAGCTCCTTCCAAGTTTTTTAAGAACTTCTCGATCATGCAGCGCATACATAGACTTTATTAACTCATATTTTTGACAGACTCCTACGATTGACTGACCAGTATACAGATGAGTTTCGGGATAACCTGGTATATGTTTATCTTCCGATAGAGCTCTTATATTCTCCACCTACATTATAAATTTTTGGAGTTAGGATTGGATAATATTTATATAGATTATATTAACACTAGGGTCCGTCCCAGGATGGGATGAATAGGTAAAATTAAATATTAACCAAATGAACGCATAAGACCGAACGATACCTAAGCATTTATTTAAGAACAAGAAAATTACAACTTCCCCACAACACGTTTGATAATACTCTAAAATCCTATTTTTAATAGATACTAGATAGATAAGAGAAACATATTAAATTTCTTATTGCAGCTTATAATACTTTCCAAAATATAGAAATTTGCTGAAATCATTATGATCTTAAGCCATAAGCCTACTTCCAACAGTAAGCAACGTTTTTAAAAGATGCTGCTTGGTATACAAAATGGAAAACAAAAGTAAGCAAAACAAAATCAACTCAAATAAAATTTTTTAGCCGCCACAACATATGTCCACCTGTCTATCTATCTATATAAGGATTTTTACATCTGTCGCCGCCTTCCTTCTTTCAGCCAACGTCTCCAGTCCTTACTGTTCTGCCACTCTCCATCTCTTAGGTCTCGTCTTTCCATGTCCTCGTCCACTTTATCCCTCCATGATCTTCGGGGTGTCCCTCTTTTCCTCCTTCCTATTGGGCTCCAATCCGAAATCTTTGTTATCCACCTTGTATGATTTGTTCTTCTCACATCTCCATACCAAATTAAACGTTTTTCTTCGATGTAGATAAGTATGTCTTCTTCTACTGTCATTCTTCGTTTTATCTCCTCATTTCTGATGCGATCTATTTTTGTCACTCTGCAGCTTCTTCTCACGAACTCCATTTCAGTTGCTATGATTCTGTCTCCGGCTTCTATATAAAATGTAGCTTCTCCAATTTTAAATTTTAAAGTGTTTGTTTGTCTTCGTTTAGTGTATTTGTTATGTCCCAATTTACATTTATGACATTCTGTTACTGCTGGATAGGCCACAACTGACGAAATGCCCCTGAAGATGATCTTGTGATCGAAAGTACTTGGGCAAGATTTGATTAAATACTGTGTTCGATATTTGCCTTGTGTACCATCAAAGCTATGATATTGGACCTGTTTCGTTTATTTATTACCCAATTCTCTGCTCCATAGGTCATTATACTGCGTACCAAGGTGTTATAAATTCTCTTCTTTTTATTTTTGGTAATCTGTCTGTCCCACAGTACCCCGTTCATTTGTTTAATACATGTTCTTGTCTGTGCTAATCTGCTGGTTATTACGTGGCATTACGTGGCATTTGAAAACTACCTTGACAATGTTTTCAAATGCCACGTAATGCTCCAGGGAAACCAAAATTTCAAATAGAATATCATTTTAAAGAAGGACTTCGATGGAAAGTGCATGAATTCTTCTTTAGACAAGAATTTCCAACATTGGATAAAGTTCTTGTCTCAGTTCGAGATGATAAGGATTACCCAGAAATGAGTCGAAGTACGTTATGGAAACTTTTAAAAGAAAAAGGCTTCCGCTGGAAAAAGAATCCCAGAAAGTCTATTTTATTAGAAAGAAGCGATATTGTCACATGGAGAAGACATTTTCTAAGAACCATAAAGGAAATGAGAAACCAAAAAAGAAAAATATTTTATCTTGATGAAACATGGATCAACGAGGGTCATACACCAAATAAATTTTGGCAGGATGAAACTGTTACAAGTCAAAGGCACGCTTTTGTAAATAACATATCTACTGGTTTAAACCCACCATCAGAAAAGGGACGCAGGCTGATAATAGTACACATTGGCAGTTCAGACGGTTTTGTTGAAGGTGGTTTATTAACTTTTGAATCAACTCGTACCGGTGACTACCATGAAGACATGAACGCTGATGTCTTTCAAGAATAGTTCGAACAAATGATAGATCCTATTTCTAAGAACTGTGTAATAGTAATGGATAATGCAAGTTATCACTCCAGACTTATAGAAGGACTGCCCACAACCAAGTGGTTAAAAAAAAGACTTGCAGAATTGGCTGAGTTCAAAAAATATTACGTACCATCCCGGATCTATAAGAAAGGAACTTTATTCGTTGTGTGCCCTTCATAAAGAAAAATTTAAAAAATACGAAATTGATGAAATTGCCAAAAATCGTGGAATGACAGTACTTAGATCCCCACCATATCATTGTGAATTAAACCCGTTTGAACTGGTATGGGCACAGATAAAGGGTGAAGTTTCAAGAAAAAATACCACTTTTAAAATTTATGATGTTAAACAGTTGTTTTTGGAGGCCATAAATAATGTAAAACCTGAAAACTGGGAAAAGGCAGTAAATCACACTATTAAAGAAGAGGAAAAAATGTGGAAGCTGGACAATATTACTGATAAAATGATCGAGCCAGTTATAAATCTTGGTTCTGAAAGTTCATCTTCTGAATCTGATTTGGATTTGTAACAAGTAGCTGTAAGTTTTATATTAATATTTTTATTCATCTATTTAACATACCTTAGACGGTTTTAAAAACTCTTTTAAAACGTAATTTTTAAAAATTAAAAAAAATGTGAATTTTTTAAAACCCTTTTTAATGTAGGTCAGTCAGATCTAATATAGTGTGTGATAAAAGAGGTCACTTTTGTTTACATACACATAACACTTTATAACACTGAAATAATTCATTTATTTTTTACAATTATTCAAAGTAATTTTTCAATTAATCTTGAGCACGCCCATGGAGTGGTCGAAGATACCAGTTAAAATTATGCTAATTACTCTCTCGTTCATAAAAATAAACTATAATATTAAATGCCAAAATCTTAAAACTAATAGTACATAACTATGAACTACATTAAATAAGTAATAATCCCGAAGTAATTTTTAAAATCGCTTATCTCGTTCTCATCTAATTCACAAAATAAAAGCATATGTATAAATTGTTTCCTCATATAAACCAATATCTAATCCACTAAGTTCTATTTAGTATATTGCTTTCCCCTATTCCCTACAAATATAAAACCAAAAGTGCCACATTCGTTTTCTTACATTTATTTACTGAAATCGTATTTCCATAAAAGACAACAGTAAATCTTCTGATCAGAATTTTTAAAACGTTTAAACTTTCCCAACCTTATTTTAGCTCTTTTTAGAGCATGAAACATTTTTTGATTAACTAAATCACCTGACTTTCATACATCAAGTGTATTGTGTGGAAGTTGTTTATGTATGTATTACCAAGTATGATAATTGGTATTACCTAAGCAAATTGGCGGAATAGATATAACATATATGCACAATGGAATAGATTGTATGAAAGGCCTGTCGTATTTATCATACTTCATAATTTCAAAATATAGAGACTTTCCTATCAAAATTCGGAAATCACAATTGGAAGACTTTGTATTATCATCACTTACCTCATGCCGCGTTATTGTTTGTCGTTCTGTCAATGAAAACAGATTATCAACTTGCATACTTCCAGGTAAAAAATCCTCTAAAAATTGAACACTAAATTCTTTTACTTTGCCTGTTTTGTCCTCCTTCATAAACTCCATTTCTTCTGCTGCTTCTAACAATTTAAGTTTGGTTGCTGATACATGAAGAACTAGTAACTGGAAAATTAATTACATAGTTCATATTATCAATATACAAACATCAAGATTAGTTATTTCTATACTCCAATTAAATTTTTAACTGGTCAATGGCATTTATGTTAAACAGATAAAAAGTTAACTAAAAATTTGAACCATTACACAATGACAATATCTAAAAAAACTAACGCATATGTATGGGTGTTCATATTTGAGACCTCCTCTATATTAGTCAATACTTACACCTTCTGGATTTACAGGCTGTTTTATCACAATCAGTTCTCCTCCGCCGTCCCGCTTTTTCCCACGTAACTTTTCTATCAACCATGTCAATGTTTTTACAGGTATATCGGCGGAGAGTTGTATAACCAAATAAGTGGGGGGTAAATATTTTTCATCTATCTCAAATAAATCTTTACCCAGGATTTCGGTATCTACTTTGGGACTCATGGGATCCATATGTCCTGAAAAAAGAGGGTAAATATTGTCATACTTCTTCTCCTCAGCCAAAGAGAAAAATAAAAATGAATAAACACACCATTTAAATCAATTTTCAAGACATCCTGGTAAACAAAATTTATGTATTAGATTAAGATAAGATTAGATTAACAGACAGTTTTGCCTGTCAACAACTGATTTTTATACACTCGCAAGTAAAATCTTTTTATGTAGAATTAGAAAGTCCATACTCATTATAATCTTATCATTGTATATGACCTAGGATCAAGATATTGTAATTAACCTTTTGTTATAGGAATGAATTATATATTTGTTAGAAAGTCCATACTCATTATAATCTTTTCATTGTTTGTATATGACCTACATAGAATCAAGATATTGTAATTAACCTTTTGTTATAGGAATGAATTATATATTTGTAACCAAAGGGAAAGCCAGTTTTACAGCAAAAGTTTTAGTTTCTCTGGAAACAGTAATGGGGTTTTTTCTAAATGACTGTAAACAAAATAAAGCTTTTTGATTGGGCAGTTTTTTGATCAGTCATTTGATCATCGAAAGTAAAGGTCGCGTCTCGATAGATGAGTGTTCGTGAGTTTGGATACCGGCATTGTGAAAGCAAGTTAGCAGAATTGTGGAAGGAGATTACAAGTCGATGAAAAGATATCCTTGGATCTAAAGTAGGCAGTTTCTGGAATACGTAGGAAATAGTTTGGCGGCACCAAGTTGACAGAAAAAGGTCCTTGTGTCATTAAGAAGTAATTAAGTGTTCAACTACTTGAATTAAATTTCAAGTGTTAATTGTTGGAGAATTAAGTCAGGTGTTTCGTACAGTCACTACAGGAGGAATGCAGATACGAAAAGACGAAAGCCGAGGCGAGTAGTGGCAGATCACATTGCTGTGGAGCGTGGACGATTCTGGGTTTGGTCCAAATACAATCTACGAAGGAAAGGTCATTGATTTTCTGTTCAGAATTGAACAGAAAATTTTGAAAATTTTGTAACTGTGAATGAATTTTGTCGACATCATTGTCGTTACCATTTTAACTGAAGAGTAGACTTCATTTGTAAAATGTTTTAAAGTTTTGTTTTTGCTATAAAGTAAATATTGAAAAATCAGAGAGATAAAAAGTTTTAAAGATGTTCATTGAAATTGGCTTTAAATTGGTTTTGTCTTCAATACTTAAAATATTCTTTTTGTGTAAGTTTTATTGTATTCATTTAGGCTGATTGATAATATAACAGTGTAAAATAATAGGAATGGGAGCGTTATGTGAAGGTAAGGAAAACGCTGTCACCAAATGAAATACACAATAGATCCTCAAGGGATGCTAACCCTGCGAGCGGCTGCAAGGAATACTGGTCACACTGGTCTGGAAGGCTGGCTCGTCTTCGTGGATTTACGAGAAGATAAGGGATTTCGGGATAGGGGTAAGGACTCCTAGGTCTCAGGTCCTGTAAAGAGCAGAGGTTATGGGCTTACTTTTGAAGCCGGAGATATGCATATGCAGAATCTCGTGTTCTCCTAGTCTCTAGAGAGTCGGACGAAAGGAACATAAAAACTAATTTAGAGTCAACAATATATTGAATCTACCCTGAAGTTACAACTACAATCGTTAACACGTTATTCTGCGCGTCGGGAGACGATGAAGCAAGATAGTGAAGAGTTGACTTGTACTAATATAATTACTCAGGTTAGTATAAAGAAATCTGTTACCTTATGTGTGTATTAGGGCTTTCAACCACGACACGTTTCGGTCCTCTGGAACTCGGTCAGTTGAGGGTTTCCTCCTGAGTTACGGACTTACGAGCTGCCACAATAACCGGACTACACGCGATACTAGGCCGGATGATACGCGCTCCCGGAGAATTACCGACTGCGTCGTACGGGACGCTATCGCGTCTTACCCTATGCCGGCAATACTGCCAGAGCGGGCAGTCACGGTGGCCCGCTATTACTGACTGCCCATTACTAACTACCCGTACCCGACGCTACCGCGTCGAGAGTACCCGGAGCAGGCAATTGGTGCCTGGACGCCCGCCGTATCACTACTGACTCCTCGTACTTTACGCTCCCGGAGGCAATTACTGCCTTGGGCAGGCACAGCTGCCCCGCTGCTACGGACCGCTTCCGCCGTATTACTACCACTGACTGACCGGCGTCCTTAGTTCGGTTTTTATCAAATGGTGTCCTAGTTGACCGGTTGTAGTCCAAGGTTACGTTTTCGCTGAATTGTGGTCTTAGGCGTTATTACTCGTATTTGGGTCACGGGTGTTGTTATTTTTTTTCAACAATAGTTTCTGTTTGACGTGCTTTTTATACGTTTAAACAATTATCAAACAATGCAATAACTAGGTCAATTTCTTTGTGTGATTTAAAATGCAAATTTTACTGTAATAATTATCCCTTATTTGATTTGAAATATATAATAATTATCTCGAATAATTAATATCTTTTCTATGCTACTTAGCCCTTTATTTCAACTTCTCACTCACTTGCTACGCTCACATTACAACAGCAAAATTTGATAATTGTTTTATTCTTTTTTAAATAAAATAAAGAATACCAATGTTTTGTAATATACTATTTCTATTATTATCCTTTTTTCTCTATCCTGATAAAGACAACTAGAAAATCTTTGGACCCACACAACATAATTTAATATAAGGAGATTTTTCACCCTGACAAAAATTTAGTTATGTTTTTGATTTGCTCAATTAATCAAGTAAAAAAAGTAATAACATAACAATATATTATATAATATGTAAATATATAATATAATAAATATAATATAATAAATCTTTACCCAGGATTTCGGTATCTACTTTGGAACTTATGGGACTCATATGTCCTGAAAAAAAGAGGGTAAATATATTATAAAATAAAATACATTATTTTCACTGATCAATATTAGGGGTATAAATATCAAAAACACGAGGTATGAAGATCACTGGCATTTCAATAAATAATATTCGGCACGCAGAAGATACCATAATACAGTTAATAACAAAGAATGAAAGATGCAGTGTATCATTGAAGCTTTTGTAGAAAGGGTTGGAGAGGCGTACGAGTGGCCTGGAAGTGAGAGTTTTCTCTACACGATTGTTAAATATTCGAGATTTAAATACAACAAAAAGAACAATATTTAGACCATAATAAATGCTACAACGTAATTAGAAACAAGATAGATTATATATTGGTAAACAGAAGATTCAGAAACAGTTTTAAATCTGTCAAAACATATCCAGGAGCGGACATTGAATCTGACCACATACCTTTAGTGGGAGTCATGGATGTGAGACTGAAGACAATAAAGAAAAAGTCTAGACCTAACTACGACATGACAGCCCTGCAACATTCGGAAGTTAAAAAGCAAGTGGGTGAATATATTAACAACCAAGTTAAACAACTAAAAGAAGAAAATAACATCCAACGAGAAATCAATCAATTCGAAGAAATAATTAAGAAAACTAAACAAGATCTGCTAAAACCAAACAAAGAAACAAAGAAGAAATCTTGGATGACTCCAGAAATCCTTCACTTAATGAAACGCAGAAGGTTAATTAAAGGAAATAAAGATGAGTATAAAAAAATGCAGGCTTACATCAGAAGAAAAATAAGAGAAGCTAAAGAAAAAGAAGCTGTAGAGAAATGTAAAGAAATAGAAAGACTACAAGCCAAGCATGACAATTTTAATGTACACAAAAAGGTAAAAGAAATAACGGGTACTTTTAAAAAGCGAACACAAATGAAACTCATAGAGACCAATGGAAAATTAATCATTGACACCCAAGAGATGAAAGACAAATATATTTGGAGACACTTTTTCAAGATCAAAGAACGGATTATAGGCATCCATTTTCAGAGAGGATGACGGGCCCGGACATACTTAAATCCGTGGTAGAAGAAGCAATAAAACGGATGAAAAGCAGGAAAGCTGTAGGGCCTGATAATATCGAAGCTGAATTTTTAAAACTCTTGGAGGAAGAAGAAATAATTTGGATCACGGCTATCTTCAATAAAATATACAATACAGGAATCATCCCTGATAAATGGCTAGAATCAGAATTCATAGCGATACCTAAAAAACAAGGGGCTAAAAAGTGCGAATAATATGCGAACAATCAGTCTAATCAGCCACATGAAACTGTTTCTTAGAGTCATCCATGGAAGAATTTATAAGAAGTGCGAGGAACAAATATAGGACAGACAGTTCGGCTTCGTTAACGCAGTGGGTACCAGAGAGGCACTTTTCGGAGTACAGGTACTGATTCAAAGATACAGGGACGTTAACTGCGACGTATACGCGTGCTTGATCGACTATGAAAAGGCATTTGACAGAGTTCAACATCAAAAGATGAAAAACATTTTAAAAGAGGCAGACCTGGATGACAAAAACCTGAGAATAATTTCAGAACTCTACTGGAATCAGACCGCATACACGAAAATTAACGGAGAAGAAACAGATCACATAAAAATACTACGTGGAGTTAGACAGCGATGTATCCTATCGCCGTTGATATTTAATATGTACTCAGAGAAAAATTTTAACGAGGCTCTTTACGGAATAGACGAAGGCATCCTTCTAAATGGTGAAAGAGTAAACAATGTTAGATATGCCGACGACACCATGGTGATAGCAGATAGTTTAGAGCGACTTCAGAGGCTAATGGACAGAATAAACGAGTACAGTCAACAGTACGGACTAAACATTAATACCCACAAAACGAAACAAATGATTATCAGCAAGGAGAATATAAACGGGGCTCATCTATAAATTAATGGGATGCAGATAGAGCGAGTAAAACAGTATTGTTACCAGGGAACTATTATTAACGAACAGTGGAGCAATTTACAGGAAATAAAGTGCCGCATGGGAAAGGCAAGAACGGTCTTTAACAAAATGACCGCCATCTTCAAAAGTCACAACATATCTCTTGATACAAAAATGAGACATTTGAGATGCTATGTTTTCTCTGTGTTGTTGTACGGGGCGGAGGCATGGACGCTTACAGACACCACTATTAAAAAACTTGAAGCATTTGAGATGTGGCTTTATAGATCACGAACAAGGAAGTTCTAGGAAAAATGAAGAAGGAACCAGAGATTGTGTTTACAATCAAACGCATAAAATTGCAATATCTGGCACACGCTATGAGAAATGAGGACCGTTACTCCCCACTACAGTCTATATTGCAAGGTAAAGTCAAAGGTAAGCGAGGACCTGGTAGAAGGAGAATATCATGGCTGCGGAATTTAAGAACATGGTTTAAGAAAACCTCAACGGAGCTGTTTCGAGCCGCAGCGAGCAAGGTTATGATTGCCAATATGATTTCCAACATCCGAAACGGATAGAAACCAGAAGAAGAAGAAGAAATGCTACAAAAGTGAAGGAGGGCGATAGTGGATGCGGCTAAGACTCACCCCGAGTTGTAAAGCCAGTGAAGAAGAAGAAGAAGAAGAAGAAGACAAAAGTGAAGGTAAAAAAAGAACACTGGCAGACTTATATTTTAATTTAAAAAATAGCGCCAACTAGCTAACATTGAACTAAAAATGGCGTAGGTTTAAAATAGCTGAACTATGACAGTCGGTAATGTAGATTCCTTTGCTTAAAATTTTTTAATTTATTTATTATTTTAATTAAAAATTGGATTGAAAATGGCGACGTCAACTAGCGTATAGTTGAACTATGATAGTCGGTAATGTAGATTCCTTTGACGTACGTATATATCTTTCTCACTCGTACTCTCTACAAAAGTATTTCTCTCTCTAACACATTGATTTCCCTATCTCTATAGTGGTAAAGACTTTGTATATCTACTCTGCAAGAGAAATCATTAGAATATAACAAACCGGCATATCTATGTTTCATGGACCTTACGAAAGCATTTGACCGGGTCAAACTAAAAGACGTTATCCACTTACTGTATGCAAGAGACATACCCCTAGGAATAATTAAAACGATCGAAAATATCTACCAAAACAACACAATAAAAGTAAAAGCAGAAGAAGAACTAACCGACCCTATTGAAGCTGGAAATGGGATAAGACAGGGAGATTCCCTGAGTCCTATATTGTTCAACCTGATTATGGATGAAATAATAAAAAAGTAAGAACCAAAAAAGGATACCAAATGGGACAAAAACAACTTAAAATAATCTGCTATGCAGACGATGCAATACTTCTCGCTCAAAGCAAATATGATTTACAATATATGCTACATCAATTTAATATAACCGCCAAAAAATTTAACATGTTAATTTCCCCAACAAAGACAAAATGCTGGAAGGTCGGATAATAGAACAAATGATGGAGTTTAAATATCTAGGCATTACATTATCTAGCTACGGAAGCTGGAGACACATTAAAAACAGACAGTCATGTCTATATAAAAAAAGAAGAAGAAGAAGAAGAAAGCAGCTATGACTTTGTAAATAGAAGAGTCATGTTTGAAGCAATAAAAGAGCTGGGAATACCAAATCAGATGGTAAAAAACTCACTTTTAAAAAAGTTGAATGTAGAGTCCGAATTCAGGGGGAACTGTCTGAAACTTTTAAAACAAATAACGGATTGCGCCAGAGAGCACCATCTCTCCTGTTTACTGTTTAATCTAGCTTTGCAAAAAGTAATACGTATATCACAAATCACAACCATTGGTTCAATATGTAATAGATGAGTGCAAATTCTTACTTGTGATGATGATATCAACATTGTTAGGAAAACGGGAAACGCTGTACAAGAGGCATATGTAGCATTAACATAATCAGCTACAACAATGGGTTTAATAATAAACACCAACAAAACGAAGTATATGAAAATAAGCAAGCAACCATAAATCCTAAGACCACTTGTTATAGAAAACGACGCCATCGAAACAGTGAACGAACTTGTATACCTGGGAGTGCTCCTTAACACTGAAAATAACACTATAGTAGAGATAAACCAACCATAATATATAAACCATATTAAGCTCAATCTCTTCCTTAAATTCACAATTTTTTCGAGAAATTCAAAAATAAAACTCTACAAAACATTAATACGCCCAGTCCTAACATATGGTTTAGAGAGCTGTACTCTCACAAAAAATAATTAAAACATGTTAGGATGTTTCGAAAGAAAAGTACTACGGCGAATTTATGGAGCAGTAAATAACAATGGAGTGTGTAGAAGATGATACACTTAGTGTTTAGAGTGGATTTTGGGCTGGCTGCGTCATTGATTCATATTTCTGTGAGAACGACGTTGAACAGGCCATCACTGTCCGTCTACAGCGCGAGTGGTATAAGTCGACTAACTTCTTTGGGTCTTAATTGGATGATATGAACATCAAGGGCATGTGGTTTCAACAGAACGGCACTACGTGATACACAGCTCATACTAAATTCAGCATTTTGCATGAGCGATTTGAGGGCATGGTCACCTTATATTAAGATGAAATGGTCACGTAGATAGTATACACATACACCATAGCGGCCGTCAAAGAAAACCTAGCCCATGCCCTTGGGTCAAATTTAGAGGGATTTATGCGCCAGAATCAAGCAAAATTGGATTATTATATTAGATATTCTGGTTTATTTAAATATATTCAGTTAAATTTAATATGTTGGTTATATTTTATTTAAATTTATAGATAGCAAGCGCTTAATTAAAGAACCTATTTTTATTTTCATTTAAATAATTATTCGGATCCTATCTTCACCAGTTTTTATATTTTTTTACGAAATTATGCGAAAAGTTTCGTGTATTCTATATAAATAAATATTTATCATTGCCTTAATTGCATTTCGTTGATTCTATTTTTGGCTATATACCTAATGACTGTTAAAAGCTATTAATTTTTTATACCAATAA